GGAACGGCGCGAACGACAATGCGCATCGTCGAAATAACCACATGAGCACAAGGATACACAAAAGGATTCATACCTGACATTTACCACAGAGCGGACCAGCAACATATGTTAGTGCTTCGGCACGAGGTCATAGGCAACCCGGAAGTACACATGCAGCGCGCAGGTGGACTCGGACCGAATCGTTTGCAGGGCCAGATACGTAAACCCGAGACCCCCGGAATCGCAGTTGGGTAGAGGGAGCAAATGGTACCCGGTGAGTAGGCAGCCAATGAGACGCGTCAGGCATGGACCGGTATGCTTTCTCCCCTCCGCATGCTCGTGGCGCAAAAGATCCTCCAAGGTGGTCGAGTTTGAGGCATTAGATTCATATCGCTGGCGCACGCCCTGCATTGCTTGACGGATGCTTGCTCAAGAACCGGGCGGCGAGGATTCATCAATGACAGCAATGTTGTTTCAAAGATCGATCTGGACAAACGAGAACACCCTGGCACCGAGCAGGTCTACCGCGCATACCTCCACTCCGTCAGTCGTGTAGGATTGACTGAATATGCTCCCTGAACATAAAGCAGCCACTAGCCCATCCGATGCCGACAAAAATTCCTATGTGTCGACCTCTTTAGATCCTTTCTAACATGCCACGTGCGTGCATCGGAGCGCACACCTCGACAGTTTCGAAGTGATGATCCATGGCGATACAATGGGTGGCTTAGAGACCTCCCACGCGGCCAAACACGAGTTTATGTCTTGAACTCTTGCAGACGCGCAGTCAAGGCTTGAACTAGTGTGGAGAGAGCGCAGGGAAGTATCGGTGGATGTGATCGGATTTTGCACGTGCATCACGCCAGGGGCTCTTGGTCGTTTGGAGTAAACATATGCCCCAACATTTTATTCACTTGAGCTTGCATAAATTATTGTGATCTGATTAGGTTCAAATAGTCTGCTGTGGGCTAATAATCATCTCAATATTGAATGTTCTGGGATTTAGTAAGAGATGACCACCACCGCTGGAGAGCCTTGACGCACCTGAGAGGCCGACCAGCTTGTCCTCAACCATATCTCTGCGGCCATAAGATGATAAAAGAAAAATGCTTCACATACAGGCCGGAAATTTGACTCCTCAATATCCAGGTTTTTTTGCCGGCCTTATCAGGGATAATCAGAGGTCCTCTTTTCGAGCGATCTTATCTCTCATCACGGATCAAAAGCATCTTGCGCCTAATGCACGTGTCACGCAATCCGATCGCATCCACCGTGACCACCTTGCACTCTCCACGCCACTGCACGCGTTTGCCGCGCGGCTGTACGACGAGGAGGCATAAATCAGTGAGGCTCAGCCGCGTGGCAGAGTGTGAAGTCTATCACTCGCACTGTCATGGCCCCTCACTTCGAAACTGTCAAGGTGTACACTCCGATGCACGCACGAAAAAACCACCGCGGCTGAACGTCTTCGCTAGTCTTTTGCAGACGTGGAACTTAAGAACGGATCCGATGAGGTCGATACGGAGGGATTTCTGCTGGCGTCAGATGGGCTAGTGGCCCTGTTCGGTGAGCGAATTCGTTGAATACCCGGTCACTGACAACTCGACGCATGCGCGCTAGACCTGCTCGGTGCCGGCGTGTTCTCGTTCGTCCAGATCGATCTTCGAAACAACATTGCTGTCAGTGATGAATCCTCGCCGCCTGGTTATTGAGCAAGTATCCATCGAACAATGCAGGGCGTGCGCCAGCGATACGAATCCCACGCTTCAAACTCGACCAGCTTGGAGGACCTTGTACGCAACGAGCATGCGGAGGGGCAAAAGCACGCCGCTGCTTGCCTTACACGTCTCATCCGGTGCGTTTGCTGCAAGCACCCGTTGTTGCCTCGCACTGATGACGTGAGTCCAGGGGTCTGGCATTTACGTGCCTCGCGCTCCAGACGACGCAGTCCGAACCGTCCTGCGCCTTGCATGTGTGTTTTCGGCGCGCTTACGATGTCGTTCTCAAGCACCATCACACTTTCCTCGTGCGCTCTGTGGTGACTGTAAGCCATCAGTCAGTCAATCCACCTCGCACTTATGTGGATGTATGTGTGTGATACAGATCGCCATCCGTGCTGTGCCTCGCCGGGACCAGTTCTACGCCGCGTTATGTCAGGGCGGGGATCGCGAGAATTTTGAGCAGGAGCTGAGGAGGTGGCTGGATGGGCTGGAAGGGATCGTAAAGCGGACCAAGCTGTTTCTGGAGGACGGGGGGTATGGCCGGGTCTGATGTGTTCTAGGGTTCGCTCTTTGGACGTGTCAAAGGATGGTCGAGCAGACACATCCAGGACTCGAGGCGTCTTCTGGATCTTTGCCGGGACAGGAATGCTGATTGCTCATAGTATCAGAACTGTAGGGCTGACGGATAGTTGATTCTTCGAAGAAAAAAGTCTGATTTGATTGTCCCTCGCTAGAAGGATGAACCCACTGAGAACCAGTGAAAAGCTGTACATCACGACTTAGCTGCCCTTGTAATCCTCGCGAAGCAGGGGAGTCGTGACTGGCTTCCCAGGGCTGCCAGCTGGGCAGAAGAAGATTCATCCCACTGAGTGAATTCTTGCGTAGCCTTCCAAATAGGAACAAGATCGTCCAAGGATTCGGCGCCTTCCTCCCAGAGTTCAGGATTATTTCTTCGCCACTCGCCGACGTCCAATTGAGCGTAAGCGCGTTACACACCCGTAGTCATCCGGTTCCTTCACCGGTTATGCGTGTGAGCAAATCCAGGTCATTCGCGGCGGTCAAGAGCCAGCGCAGTACCTTTTCCCCCGAAACTTTGGATACGCAAGCCCTTTTTATTCCACCAACGACCACGAACCTGAAGCTTTGAGCATCATGCAGACAAACGCTCGGCTCATTCTTCAACTTGGGCACTATGCAAATCGGATTCGTAAACAAAGAACACCATGGCTCTTCTCGATGATCTCGTCCTGTACAATGTATCGAGCGAATATAGAAGCGAGGCCAATTTTCGCTTTGTTGTAATCTGATTCAAGGCCGACCATGGCCACAAGCGGAGTTGGGGGACATCAAAAAGGGACGAGCGGATATCGCGCGCAGTGCAAATAATAGAGATCGGTTCAGTTCAGTGCTTCCTTCATGCTATGAAGATGATCCTCGGCGACCCACATGGATAGAAGATGAGCTTTGAAACAGTCAATTCTGATGTCACCTGATAAATGCCGCGACTGCCCGCCGGTGTTACATAATTAGCTGAGATACTCAGCTGCTGTAATCCATTGGAATTGGGCGAAAATAAATGATGCAGACACTGTGAGCTCTCACCGCATGCGCGCAACTCGTGTAGCGCAGGAATTCACTTTCGAAAGGTTGAAACCGTATGAGTCAGCTTCATTAGCTCAGCGGAACCCTACAGTCAGCGAACATACGATACGGCTAGGCTGGCGATGATCGTTCCGGGTATACACAACAGTCGAGAAAGAATTTTCGTGAGAAAAGAAGTTCTTTTGACGTTAGCATGAGATAGAAATGAGAGATGTACTGTTCTGACCAGTGGTATACTCACGGTTGCCCTAACCAGAAGAGAAGTAGATCAGATGCGAGGTGAAGATCTTTGTTTCACACTTCCCATCTCTGAGTTGCTGACAAACGCATCTGGTTTCCGTTCTTCTTCAGCTCCAAGTAGGTCTTATTCTATGCCCCTTGAAGTGCAGAGGAAATGCCCAACGGTTGTGAGAGACAGTGGATGTGGATGATCCCTTGATAGCTCCATGCTTTGCCAACCCGCTTCATCGCAGTCAGATGATGCTCCGTACGGCATAGTCGGGGGCAGATGATCGGCTCATGTGGCTTGGAAGCAGGAGATCTGCCCGAGAAACGTGCATGCAAATGCGGTCACAGATCTCAAGAAATTTGTGAAAGGGTGTCAAGAATGTAAGAACTGTGATAAATTTTACCTTTGTTCTTTTTAAAGAAGCGTCATGTCCATATGCATCTCTTGCTTTTTGAGATTAGCCCCATCTTGAGACTCAGCTGACCAATGGGAGGTGCAGTCAAGCAAGGTAAGAACTGCGATAACTGCGATAAATTCTACCTTCGTTTTTTCTAACCAGCCACATGCCCACATACATCTCTTGCTTGTTAGGTTAAGCACCGTTTCCACAATCAGCAAACTGATGAGAAGTGCAGTTCTGGGTCCCTGCTTCTACTTCTCTGCCCGAGCTCGGGGAGAATGATGAGTAAGGATGAATGCAACAAATTTGTGATGATGCAAAGCTCACATCCTGCGGGAGTCGAGGTATTGCCCTTCTAGTGGACCTTAGACTGCGATGAGACGGTTTATCACGCAAGTCATGAGTAGACGTGGCACCGAACTCCCGACAATGAGCAGGGAAATAGATAGAAGTAAGATATATTACACAAGACTTTTCACGACGCTGGTGAAACTGTAGACCTCAAGTACCAGATGTTGTCATAGGGTGATTGTCAAGAAAGCATTCGGTCCCACGGCACTCAGGCAATCTCAATATCCCGGGCATGATCGTTGTTTCTCTCGCTAGGCAAAATCCACCCGACTGGCGATGTCATTCATGACGCAATTACAGATGGAAGCAGAGGGCCTCTCTTTTCAGGTTCTAGGTTCCCTTTCGAGTTCTTGAGCCGAACAAGATCGGGGAAGACGGTTGAGAGAAAGGGCACGGACGCCGATAGGCCGAGGGGGATTCTTTTTCTCTGTAATGAAACAGTTGACGGAATGGGATCCATCTAGCAGATGCACCTCGCTTCGCTGCTGAGATTTCCCTTTTGACAGTCTCCGTTGTTTATGCCTCGCCTTCAATCTGGACGCGAAATCGCTCACTCACGATCACCTTCCATGCAGCTCCGTGGAGGCTCAAGGGCTGATTTCCGACTGCGCGCGAGATATACAGATTGATGGACACATTCTCCAGGCTGTATAAAGGCCGCCCTCGAAATATTCAATGGACAGACTCAACCACGATCGCAGTCTTCGTTTCGTTGAGAATGCCTCTCGCCATGTTCTCTTTCCGCACCCTCCTCTCTCTCACTGCAGCAGCGCGCATGGCCTCTGGCCACATTATCGGGCCTGTTGGCTACTACTTGGAAGTGGTCAACCAGACTATCGCCCCCGACGGTGTCCCGCGCGCCGCTGTTCTGGCTGGGGGAACGTTCCCTGGTCCCCTCATCACCGGGGACATCGGCGACAACTTCCAGATCACGGTCGTCGACCAACAGCAAGACATCCGCATGCTCGAGCCCACGTCGATTGTGAGCCGCCCATCCTGCTGCTGTTTGTCTGAGTGCTGATGGCGGGGGGTCCCCGGCAGCACTGGCATGGGCTGTTCCAGAACGGGACGAGCTACATGGACGGGGTCGCGTTCGTCAGCCAGTGTCCGATTGCGCCCGGCAACTCGTTCACGTACGACTTTACTACCCAGCAAGCCGGGTGCGCACCTGTCCTCTTCGAAAACGGGACCCATCTGATTACCCGCGGGCTTGTTTCAGAACTTACTGGTATCACTCGCACCTTGCTACCCAATACTGTGATGGCTTGCGTGGCCCGATCGTCCTTTACGACCACGAGGACCCCTACCTCGACGAATACGACGTTGACAACGAGGACACGGTGATCACGCTCGCCGACTGGTACAACGTGTTTGCCGAAACGGTCGTCGGTCCTGGGTGAGTGACGCCAGAAGCACCGCTCGGACATCCCGATCAGACGCTGATGCGTCGACCCTTCAGTGTACCGTCCTCCATGCTCATCAACGGACTCGGACGCACTGCTGCCACCGTCTCGAACACGACCCTCGCCGTCATAAATGTCTTCCAAGGTCTTCGCTACCGGTTCCGTCTGATCAACATGGCCTGCGACTCCAACTACGTGTTCCAGATCGACGGCCACCAGAACCTGACGATCATCGAGGCCGACGGTGTCCTCCACGAGCCGTTGAGCGTCGACTCGATTCAGATCTTCGCAGGTGAGTGGTCTCCGAAAATCTTGCCAGCGCGAACAGCTCGCTCACTGACTATCTCAAGCCCAACGCTATTCGTTCATCCTCACTGCTGACCAGGCCATCGACAACTACTGGATTCGCGCGAACCCGAACACGGGCCCAGCTGGGTTCGCCGGCGGGATCAACTCTGCGATTCTCCGATGTGCGCCCTTGTGTTTCGTTTGCGCCGTGACCCATCTCATCCGCCCTCTTCTAGACATCGGAGCGAACGAATCCGAGCCTACGACCTCGCAGGACACGTCGGTCAACGGCCTCGTCAACGAGGTCAACCTCCACCCGCTCGTCAACCCTGGTGCCCCCGGCGGCGCTTTCATTGGTGGCGCCGATGTGCAACTCAATCTGGCTCTGGCGTTCAACACTGTGCGCCAACAGCATCCTCTGCTGTTTGAGCTCGATTGCTGACCGACACACAGACCACGCTGAAATTCATGGTCAACGGGGTGACGTTCGTTCCCCCGACCGTTCCCGTGCTGCTCCAGATTCTGTCCGGGGCCCAGGCGCGCAGTCGCTGCTCCCCAGCGGCTCGGTGTACACGCTGCCGCACTTTGCGTCGGTCGAGATCACGCTTGCCGCGGGTGCCGTGGGTGGTCCCGTGCGTTTTCTTTCTTCTTCTCGGTCTCGTGGTTGAATCGCTCATGGACCCTGGCAGCACCCGTTCCACTTGCACGGACACGTCTTTGATGTGATCCGTCCGGCCGGCAGCACCACCTACAACTATGTGAACCCCGCTCGCCGCGACGTCGTCAGCATCGGGAGCGCCGGTGACAACGTCACGATCCGGTTCTTCACCGACACCGCGGACGTGCGTGTTCAGTCTCCGCGCATCACGCATCGGGTAACTGACGATCAAGCAGCGTGGTTCCTCCACTGCCACATCGACTGGCACCTGGAGGCGGGTTTCGCGATCGTGCTTGCGGAGGATGTGCCCGACTGGAACTCGCAGCTGATCCCGACGTCGGAGTGGAATCAGCTGTGCCCCATCTACGACGCACTCCCGGCATCGATCACTTCTCTCGCTGCTTGAACCACGGAGCC